ATATCATATCATATCATATCATATCATATCATAACATATCATATAACATATCATATCATATCATATCATATCACATCAAATATCATATCATCATATATCATATCATATATCATATCATATCATATCATATCATATCATAACATATATAACATATCATAGCATAGCATATCATATCATATCATATCATATCATATCATATCATATCATATCATATCATATATCATATCATATCATATCATATCATATCATAACATATATAACATATCATAGCATAGCATATCATATCATATCATATCATATCATATCATATCATATCATATCATATCATATATCATATCATATCATATCATATCATAGCATAGCATAGCATAGCATATCTTGTATCATACTTTGAGTCATTTATTAATTGTATTTTGTCATTTTATTGTACATCATCTAATTCTAAGTATTTGTAGTTGCCAGATGATAGTATTCAATACTTACCCTTAAACTATCACCACCTTTACTTTTGTTTCCTTTACTTTGCTGTTATTAATAATGAAGGATTCAGAAGTAACATCTGCATTGTTCTTTTGTGCCCAAAGGTTGCAGGTTCTGCAGCCTGTGTTCACTCAATCTCGCTCTCCTGGGAAGTTGTTATAGGTGGTATTTAATTTGAACCTTTGGGATGTACAGTACTTTGCAACAATGCACAACAATGTACTATAGCTCTCCTTTATGTCCTGCTGCCATCAATATTTGGAGCTTTTTCCTCTTGTTCTTATTATTCTCGAGGGGGCTGTGTTCGCTGAACTCCAGTGGTGAAAGAGCTAAAGCCTATCTGGCCATTTCCCAAGGTGATCATCCAAGGTAGTTCATTTGCATAACGTTAGTTCTTAAACAAAGCCAAGCACAAATTCAAGTTTAGTGTCTTAATTAAAAAAAGGTCTTGATGCATTTTTAAGCATTTTCAGCGCTTTAATGTGCTCTTTTTGCTTAATGCTCATCAGTGATCTCACATTTAATCAAAACAGTGGTGTTTGTTCCTTCAGTTCTGTACTCACACAGAAGACCATAAAACAGTGAAAAAAATATTAAGTGCTGATGAAAACACAGTATCCATGTATTACATGATTTACAAGGGGATTGAGGTGCATTTGTCTCAATATCAAGATTGATTTATACCTGATTCTTTGAATGTGTTGAATGTTTTTGATGTGTTTACAGAAGATTGACCTGTGTCACTCATTAACAACCAGTGAACCAGAGAGGAAAGATATTGAAAATACTATAAAAGCAGGTAAAATCTGAAACAAAGTAGCTACTGTGCTACGTTTTTATATGCACTGAAACACTTTTTATAACATTTCCATATCTTCCTATTGATTTGACCTAATTTAGCCAGGCTCCACCTTGTTTTTTAAGAGCAGTTCGCTTCAGAAATGATAAGAGACCCATGTTAACAAATGCTTTGTTGAGCTCAAGACAAATTCAGTCACCTCTATTTTGCTACCTTGTCTTTCTTGTGCTTACGCAATATAATTGTGCACCTGACAAGTGTGGAGGTTGTTGCAAGAAGCTGTTCAGTCACAGCAGGTAAAAATCAGCACCATTCAGAAATGGTTCATGTTGGGAATGTGATGGAATTGCAGGGCAGACAACCCTCCCTTTTTGGCAAGAAACACAGGAGCAGCCCGATGAAATTGTTCAAATTATCATGTGAATCATAACAGCACCWGCACAATTGTGCCGGTGAGGTTCTAAAATTGCACAAGTTTGCAAACATGGACACAAAGAGCTCATTTCAATGATGATCCAAGCAGTCTGCCAGGAGCGGTTAACGWTGCTAATTGTTTCCTGTTGTGGAGCAAAGTGGGGAATTGGAAATACCCTCTGTCCATCCATCCTGTTAGCTAGATAACTTGAAAAATAACCATATTGCTTGTTTACTATTGGAATATATATATATAGTGCAGCTGTACTTCTAAAGATATTTTGCTAACAGGCAGATTAACCAGCACTTAGATGCAAACACACAGATAACTTACATATCTCCTTACACATGGAAATCTTTAGTAGATTTGCATGTATTGCTTGACACCTTGCTCGAGAATATTTTTCATGTGATGTGCCCCCTTTTCTCCATAAATTAAGTGTAGCCTAGTTTGGCAGTCTTTCTGAAGATGTCTTCTACTGATATTTCAAAAAATAGTTTTATCTCATCTTCTGCAGACTCTCCTCCTGTGGGTTGTGTTTTCTGCGTAGCAGATATTAAAGCCATTTCAAGTTTTTCTCTTTATTTCAGTGGTAAATATTGGTGCCACTTATAATAAACAAGGCAGGCAAAMTGAGCCATGCGTCAGCAACAATATTATTAATAAACCTTATTGAAACACTGTCCACCAAACCCTTTTAAATTGCTTAAAATTAAATCATGATACATACATATTTCAAAGGCAAAAGCTTCTTTTAATTTAGTAGAATGTTGACTTTACCTTTGTATTTATTAATGTTTTACAGAAAAATGAGTGCTTGTAAGTTAAAATAAAACAAATGGAAGTATAATTAAGTCAATAATTTCATTATCTGCCCATTTTATTCAAACATTTGCAACTTCTGTAAGAAAATAAGACATCAAAGCTAAAGAAAAGGACCAAAGTTTCTTTAATGGAAGTTAGTAGTGGACTTCTGTTATGAACAAAAGTGACCATTACATATGAGGAATCCACTTTTCTAAGCATTTAGCTCACAGATATGTATCAAACTAAAATAAATTCATTCTCAGCTTCAGTGAAGTGCTTTTACAGTCACTTCTTCGCAGGTCTTAGAATTTAATTGAAAGCAAAATTAAGTACGAACTACGAACAAGGTTTGTAGTATTGAAGGAATTGATTTTTTCTCTTACTTCAGCTTTGCATGTATTRCAAATTGCTACTTTTTGGTCTTTTTCTTTAATAGCACAATRCTGCCAAACCAACRACATAACGGCTGCTCYRGGTGAGCTATTGTTAACAAAGCATGTGTGGACGGCACGACCTGGTGGGCGGGTCTGTCAGCCCTCTCTCTCTCACAGCAGAGCAAAAGGGGACAGTGGCAGCTGATTTTCAGACCTTTGCGAAAGTAGGTAAAAATCGATGGATAAAATTGGTTTCTCGTGTAATTATCACTAAATTAAGGGAATAGGGCCATTAGATTGGGCTGATTTGTCAGTGCACCCCTAGCAAAATACATTACAAACAAAGTGTAAGATAGAATCAGTTTGTTAAAAAAACACAAATATTATTATTTTTATTTAATGAGCTGTTTCCGCTGATTTTAGATTTTACTGCACGATAAACTAAAACACAGAAAACCAGATGACCATTTTTACTCCTCTTATTTTATTTCTGTAACCTCTTATAACGGAATAAAATGGCT